TTTGGAATTTTGGACATAGGACCTCATTTCCTAGTGAGCCAGAGTGTTGGAGACATGTGGAGAAACTTTATAAAATATTCTATCCAGTCCTTGTATTTGCAGAGGTCGCTGGTGCTAGTCTAATGCATGTCAATGGCCATAGTGAACCTTCCACTAAAACGCCGTACCCACTCCACAAAACACCCAAGACAAAACAATTATAACGCCAAACTGTCCATGTAAATGTCTGTGTTGATAGAATAATTTTAGAAGTAAAACCAACCTTGCATTTGAAAGATTTATGTCTGAGCAGCAGTGAGTTGTACTTCCTGATAGAAAGCTTGGCAGCGGTGGACTGATATCACCTAGCACCTCTAACTGGCAAAGTAAAATGCCGCTGCTGCTGAGAAAATAGCAACAATTCATGTGATGCAAGGTTAGTTTTATTTCAAACATTATTCTATCAACATCATATCTTATCAACACAGACATTCCCATCGAAAGTCTGGTGCAATAATAGATTTTCTTCGGGTGTTTTGTGGAGTGGGTAAGACTGTTTTTAGTGACAGGCTAACTATGGCCATTGACATGCACTAGCCTAGCACCAGCAACCTCTGCAAATACAAGAACTGGATGGAATATTTACAAAAGTGTCTCCACTCATCTCCAACACTTTGGCGAACTAGGAAATGAGGTCCTGTGTCCGAAATTCCAGACTGTCCCTTTAAGTCTAGTTAGTCCACTGAGTTTGTGCAGAGTTAATATGAAAAACAGCCATATTACTCATCAAAACAGTGAAAATTCTAGCTCTTAAACAAAACAATTATATATTGATACAGCAGCTCATGATATTGATACTGTATCATCAAATTAAGCAATACAATATATCGATATTTAAATATTTTTGCACATCCCTAATCTCCATGGAGAAAAGCATTTGACAGAAAAGTCACACACCTTTAAAAACCCAAACGTGCACAACAGGTCAAATCCTCCAGCTAAAGTAGTCCTGACCAAGACTAGGTCAAGATCTGGAGATGGGTCCCACTGCTCCTGACAGGTTTAAACCAAAGGCGGCTGAGGATGGGTCAAATGAAGAGAACCCAGCATGTTTTCCCTCTCATTCCTCCAGGGCTAAAAGTAGATGGGACTATAGATAGCAATAACTGGAATTCGCCTGGATGACTGGGGGTTTACTCAGACACCTAAAAGTACACATGCAAACCATCATACTATTACTGTGACAGAGTACCAGGATTCACTTTAAAGGGTTCATATGACGCTATTTTCTGATCTACTGTCAGTTATAATGTTGTTTCCTCATCACAAACAGACCAGGAGTTGTGTTGTGTTTTGTTTCATCATCTCACCATCATTTCACCATCTGATGTCATGTGGTAATACAAGAAGAGCTCCACTGTGTTTTCAAACTTCACACACCTTCACTAGAATCATTTGGATCATTTCAGTCCTGGAATTGCCAAAGGTAAAAGTAGCTGTTAATTTGAAAACTAACTGCGTCATGACATCACAAGGTGGAATTAAGCATTTTGAGCTTTGGAGATATAGAGGCACTAATAATAAAGAGTTACTCAAACATGTGTGAATGAAACAAAACACAACTCCAGGGCTGTTTTTAAGGAGAGAACAGCGTAACATGGTTTAAAGTTCACGAGAGTCCATTTTATTAATAGTATTAAAGTATTAATATGACTTTCCTAGAATAAAAATTCTAATGTTATCTGGAAAATGCTCTTCCAATTTAAATAAAAAATGTGGAATATGAATGAATTCATAACAGACTGTAATGCGCTTCTGGAAAGGCTCTGCGGGTTTCAAAATGATGAAAACATGATCACCGCTGCCATAATGATTAAATATTCAAGCAAAAATATGATATCTATAAGTCCAATGCATTAACAGTACACAGCAAAAAGTGGAGTGTCAGAATAAATTTTAACATTTTCTCAGGGTTTATATGAGCCCAATCTATTCTAAAGTTAATTTAACATTTTTGAAAATGTTATTTAACATTGGGCCAAACCCTGAAATTAAGAGTTATATTAACGTTTTGATTGTAATAAGGATAACACTTTGTAAGGTTATCCTGATTTAGCTCAACAACACACAGAGGTGTTTTATTTTTACATTTTACTTTAGTGAATTTTACATTTTGGAGAGTAGTAAATATACACTGTAAAGTCTAAATTAAGGTACACTATAAAAAATGGGGGGGTAGCCAAATTAACTCTAAGGGAAGTTGAATTAACTTCTTCAGCCATATCAACTCTCACAAATAACACCAAGTCGAACCCCCATTTAACTTCCAAACAGTTAAAATAACACTTTTTGTGTTAAAATTTTAACCCTCTGGTTTTCGCTGTGTACCTTGAAGTACATATGGCAGGGTTTTGTGTTTTTCTAATTATCTTGTGGTTTGGTGATAGTCCCTGTGTTTCAGATTTATCACAGTTTTACATCAGGTCAGTGTCAGTTTTTGGGAGAAAAATGATAAATAAGTCAAATTCAGAAAGCAGCAGTTAGTTCTAAAACAGAATCCCCCTGTACTTATGTCACCAGCACGGAAAATACCAAAACACAGAGACAATTTACGTGCAACTTATGACAGCATTTTTCTGACAGTTTAAACCCTCATTTAACAAAATAAAGACCGTCAATCTTTATTAGACTAACCATAACTATTGTGTAATTTAGACACATTTTGTCCCATTTTAGACTGACGTAGGATGCTAAGTAACAGCTGTGGAATTACTTATATCTGCTGCTCATGTCCAGGAAGTAAAATTAGAAACTTCACAAGAAAATAAATAAATAAATTCATCAATCAAATAAAATATGCACTTTAAAGGTTCCTGTATATTACGCAAAACTGACTCATGTGAAATTTTGTCAACATTATAATGTATTTTCCTCATCACAAACAGACCTGAAGTTGTGTTTTGTTTCATTCACACATGTTTAACACACAAACTCACAAAAGATTTAGGCTGACTTCTTCTCTCAAACTGAAAACATTATTATACAGATGTTTTTAAACTCCATACACTTTCACTAGAATCATTTGGATAATTTCAGCTCTGTAATTTCCGATCTCTACTGAACAAAAAGAAAGGTGAAACATGAAAACTAATTCTTCATGACGTCACAAGGTGGAACAGAGCATTTTGAGCTTTGGAGATGTAGACAGACAAATAATAAAGGATTACTCGAACATGTGTGAAACAAAACACAACTCCAGGTCTGTTTTTGAGAAGATAACAACATTCTAACATGACTTAAAGCTCACAAGAGTTGATTTTGTATGAAAAAATACAGTTACTGTTTTCATTTGGTGATACTGAGTTTACAGTTATGGTGAGGGTGTTACAATTTAGGCTTCAAACTATGCAGAATTGGTGATAAAAATAGAAACTGCAGCTCCTGTGGTGAGTGCGTGTGTGATTTTTTTCCTTCTCCAGTGAATGATAAATAAATAATGGTGAAACAAATAAAGCTGTTTTTAATCCAGCATTTTTGCACTGATTTAAATCTAACTCGGTGTAAAAGTATTCTAAGTGTTCAGAATACAGTACTCTGATTCAGTGGTGGAACGTAACAAAGTAAAAGTAGTTAAGTACTGTATTTAAGCGTACATTTTAGGTGTCTGTATTTTACTGAAGTACGTTTTAAACTGGATACTTTTTACTTTCACTTCACCACATTTCAGAGCAGGTATCTGTACTTTCTACTCCACTTTTAAACAGGACCGAAAAGTAAAATTATTTTTTATGACAGTCTGAGAAATGCTGGAAATACTGAGGATTTATTTTGAACACATTTTGTAGTTTGAGCAACGAAAAATTTAACAAATAAAAACAGCTAGAAATTAGAAAATACTTTTACTTTTTACTCTTGATGTACATTTCGAAAACTGAGTACTTCCTCCACCACTGCTCTGATTGACCCATGTATCAGAACACGTAACAAAATACTTTTTAATGCAGATTCAGTATTTTTTGATCAAATATATTTTCAAAGTATTCATATTATATCACTTACCTTTTATATTCGTGTTTGAAAAATACTTGCATTTGAGAGTTGCTATATTTCTGTAGTGTTTTATTTGTATTTTTCTCAGTACCAATACTAGTACTTTGTTTTGGACTCTTAAAATTATTCTTTTTGTGTACTCCAAAAAAGTTAAAGCGCCCATATCACACTATTTTCTGTTCTACGTTATAATGTTGTTTTGTTGAGTTGTGTTTTGCTTCATTCACACAAGTTTAACACACAAACCCTGTATATTTAGACTGAGTTCTTCTCTCAAACTGAAAACACTCTGTTCTACTTTGTGATGTCATGCGGTAATACAGGAAGTGCTCCATTATGTTTTCAAACTGCACACACCTTCACTAGAATCATTTGGATCATTTCACCCCTGGAATTTCCAATCTCTACTGAACAAAAGTTAAAAGGTAACTTGAAAACTACCACTTCATTGACATCACAAGGTGGAGCAGAGCATTTTGCGCTTTGGAGATGTAATAATTACGCAAACATGAATGAATGAAACAAAACACAACTTCAGGTATGTTTTTGACGAGGTAACAGCTTTATAACATCACTGTGTAATATGCGAGCTTTAAAGGTGCATTGCGTAACTTTTCTAGTGGAGGGTCCATCACCAGCTCGTCTTGCTTTGTCTAGATAGAATGTTCCACGGTAGAGATTAAACCTATCTGTCTCCATACAGGCAACTATAGGCTACATTACAGGTCAGATCTGTGGAGAATCAGCCCTATTTATGTAGAATTATTGTATTTTTGAGAAATCGAAAGACCCACAATCAATAAATACTAGATAGATGTTCTTAATTTCATACTATGGAATATTCCAGGCAACGCAATAACATCTCCATGGTGACAAGCAGGTGATGGACCTTCCTCGAGAAAAGTTGCGCAACGCACCTTAAAATGTTGACCGCAAAAATTTTTTTTCAAAGTATTCATCCCATCACTTACCTGTTATATTCTTGTTTGAAAATCTCTTGTTTCTTTAGAGCTTTCCTCTCTCTTTCCTTCTTTTTTGTTGTGTATCTGTAGCTCTCTCCTCTCTTCTCTCTCCTCTTCTTCTTGCTTTTTTCTTGTTGTGTACTTGCCGTGGGCTGACTCCTGACTGAGGCGTAGCACAGATCACACACAGGCTTGTACTCGCCCTGATCACTCATCGCCACGGAGACGCAAGAAGGGGGCATGGCCAGGAAAAATCTCTCTCCCACCACAAATGACACACGATACGCTCTGCCACGCTTAAACGAACACTTTCACTACAATCTCCAACTGCCCTGGAGGAAATGGAATTCACGATGATGAAAAATTTGCCCTGTCGCCATAGTGATTAAAAAGAAAGATATTGTGTAATTGTGTTTGGAATTTTAAAAATTCCTTCAAATGATGTGTGCAACAGGGTTTGGATTAGTCTATGACAGGATTATTCCAGGTCTAAACCAGGTCTAAACCAGAACTAAACCAGAACTAAACCAGGTCTAAACCTTGGTTTGGTTTCCATGAAGACAGAAAGCTTTAATGCCATACTGTGAAACGTTCCAGACAAAGCAATAACGTCTCCATGGAGAAAAGCATTTGACGGATCCGCCACCAGAAAGTTACACAATGCACCGTTAAGATAAGATAAGATGCGCTTTATTGTCCCGCCAGGTGAAAGTGCAAGGTGCATAGACATCAAATAGACAGAAACAGAGAACAGAATAAAAACGGAAATGTAAGCAGTGCCGTCACTTGTACAGTCAGTGCAGTTCATAAAATTCAGAATTCTGAATACAGAATTTAAAAAAAAGTAAAGGTTTGCAATTGATTAATATTTGTGATTGAAATGAAATGTATTGATTTTAAATGTTTTAAATAACTGTCAATGTCAATGTATTGTCTGGAAAAGGGGGCAGATAATATAAGATCACTCTTTTTCTGCTCCTTTTCATTTCTTGTATTTCTTTTCATACCGTTTATGTCTTTTTATTCTTTATGAATCAAATAAATAAAAAAATAAAAATGAAATAAAATAAAGTTTTCATGTGAGGGCAGCAAATAAAACATACTACTGGGACAGTTACACTTTAGATTCTTATGTACAGACCTCTGTTTCATGTTTTTTTTTAAAATTTTTATTTAATTTAATAAAACATTTTTATAGCGCTTTTCAAGACACCCAAAGCGCTCTTCATTCACTCCACACTCAGTGGTGGTACAATTGTAGCCACAGCTGCCCTGGGGCAGACTGATGGAAGTGAGGCTGTCAATCTGTGCCATCGGCCCCTCTGTCCACCACGAACCACTTTCTTACTAGGCGATGTAGGTGTCTTGGACACAATGACAGTTTTTGTCACTGATGCCCACTGTGGCAACAGATTTTCCCAGTGGTCTCCCATCCAAGTACTAACCAGGTCTGGCCCTGCTGAACTTCTGAGATCTGATGATATCAGACTTTGACAAGCCAGTATGGTCACATCTTGATAATTTCAGCTGCACTCTGCTCCTTCTTCAGAGTGGTCATGTGATGTTGCTGTTGTGGAAACGTGTCCACCAGACTGTAAATCAGGACGAGGGGGTGTACCAACTCTCTCACACTTGGGATACAGTTCTGAAGAAGTCGACCTGCAGTTGGAGCTGTCGTCCTTCTGCTCCAAGTAGGAAGACAGTGCCAAAATCACCACAGCCACATTCTATATCCGGACGGGGCCTGGGTCATTGGATCAGAGAATAGCGAGTTCAAACACTTTATCAGGGAGAACACTGAAGTCAGGAAATGGGGCAGGACACATCAACTGTGATGACGGAGCATTCCTCCTTTCACATCCTGGGACACCCTCCTCCAGAGAACTCCAGAGAACACCAAGAGGCAGGAGGCATGGTCAGTCTGAGTAACCTGAGTGGTCCTTCAAGCTGACCACTTGACTCGACTATGGCTCCAGTTGATTTTACATTGAAAAGTTGTTGCCCCTCTCTCTGTAACTGCTGCCGTGAGCCTCATAATTTTGGTCTTAAAATGTTCATATTAACCCGCTCTACATGATCCTGGTGGGTTTATTTTGCTATTTTGTCCATAAATAAATTGCTACTTCTAATGTAGAACTCCAAATTTGCTCCTGTAACCACCAGCCTTACTGAGCTTCATTTGACTGGAGCAGAAAGGTGGAGGTAACATCACCCTCCCTTATTTCACTTCTTGATACAGTCTGTGGTTGTTGAGATCTTGGTCTGAAAGAGTTGGATATGGAGAGTGAATGTGTGTGTGGGCACTGATCCACAGCTGCAGGCCTCTCATAAACACCAACCAAAAACATACTTATTCAAACATGACGTAATGCCTAAAATGTCTATTTTTTTGGCTCTAAAAAGTTACATATTATGGCTTTAACAATCAGATTTTAATCTACATATGTATAGCTATGTATAGTAATATCAGTGACATGATATTTTCAAAAAGTATAAAAAAGGATAAACTTTTTTGGAGTGAGTGGTGGATACAGAAGAACTATAGTTTAAAACTCTCTTACCAGAAACAAGGTACTGGCATTGGGACTGAGATATATTAATTAAAAGTTAAACACAAAAAAATACAGCCCCACCTTTAAAATGCAATACTTTAAAGGTGCATTGCATAATGTTTCTGGTGAAGGGTTTGTCAGACACTTTTCTTCATGGAAATGGTATTGCTTTGTCTGGAATATTTAACAGTATGGCATTAAACCTTTCTATCTTCATGGAGACCAAAGCAGACCAAGTTACAGGTCAGATCTGTGGAGAGACAACCCCCCTCACAGTCAGAATGCATTTTTGTTTTTTGTTTTTCAAGGTATTTTTGAGCTGTAAAACCACCTGTAATTAAATAAATGTAAGGTAGAGCTGTTTAATGTCATACTGTGCAACATTCCAGGCAGTGCTATGACATCTCCATAGAAAGAAGATGGTAACAGATCCTTCACCAGAAAGTTACACAGTGCAGCTTTAACATTGGCCAATCATACATACAATATAAATCATTTGAACATGTTTTGTCATACACCATAAAGAAAATGTATGATATTGTGAACAGTGTCTCTCAGTTTAAGCTTCCTCCGGCGATTTGAGTCACTTTGTATTTGGAAAGAGCACGGGGCTCAGAGCTCAGGGTACATGCTGAATCAATGGCTGGCGCAGGCATTAACAGGTATAACGATACAGTAATAAGATGCCTGCATTCCTTGTTCAAACAAGTCTGTATCCACTACAAGAATGTGACTTCTCTGAAAGGGCTGGAGCAACAGGGAGTGGGCTAACCACAGCACCTATCCTATGTCTGTTTTGTTAATTGATTATATAATAGGGTTTATATGATGTTTAGATTGTCAGTTTGTTTTTGTTTGTGTCAAATTAAAGCCTCACTATGTAGTTTTTTTTTTTTTACTGTCTAAAATAATGGATGGTTATTATTGCCCTGAAAACATGTGTCCTTATACTGTGAGCTTGCATCTCCACAAACCTGACTCTTATTTGGCCCGGAGGAGGACTTTGTTGTTCCTTTGGCTACAGTAATATTCCACAGTATGGCACAAAACTGAGCTACCTCCATGGAGACTGTTCCAAAGTATGGTTGTAACTTTGTGTTTCCATGGCCTCAGGTGACATGCCACATCCACAAAGTGACAGGTTGTTCATTTAGCCGTAGTTCTGGTAACATGCTTAGTCAAATTTTCTGTTGTTTACTGTGTAGTGTCTTAGCACCTTTGAGTTGAGGAGAGGCAAGAAGTACACCTGAAATCATGTAACTTTCTTGTACTAGTAGTGGTAGTAGTGGTAATAGTAATGGATGTAGTGGTAATATTAGTATTAGTATTAGTATTAGTATTAGTATTAGTATTAGTAGTATAGTAGTAGTAGTAGTAGTAGTAGTAGTAATAGTAGTGTTAGTAGTAGTGGTAGTAGTAATAGAAGTAGTTACAGTAGTAATAGTAGTAGTAGTAGTAGTAGTAGTAGTAGTAGTAGTAGTAGTAGTAGTAGTAGTGGTAATAGTAATGGAAGTAGTAGTAGTAGCAGCAGTAGTAGAAGTAGTAGTAATAATAGTAGTAGTAGTAGTAGTAGTAGTAGTAGTAGTAGTAGTAGTAGTAGTGGTAATGGTAATGGAAGTAGTAGTAGTAGCAGCAGCAGTAGTAATAGTAGTGGTAGTGGTAGTGGTAGCAATAGTAGTAATAGAAGTAGTAACAGTAGTAATAGTAGTAGTAGTAGTAATAGTTGAAATAGTAGAAATAGTAGTGCTAGTGGTAGTTGTAGTAGTAGTAGTTGTAGGAGTGGTAATAGTAGTGGAAGTATCAGCAGCAGCAGCAGCAGCAGCAGCAGTAGTAGTAGTAGTAGCAGTAGTAATAGTAGTGGTAGTATTAGTAATGGTAGCGGTAGTGGTAGTAGGAATAGAAGTGGTAGTAGCAGTAGTAATAGTAGTAGTAATAGTAGAAATAGTAGCTATGGTGGTGGTGGTAGTAGTAGTGGCAATAGAAGTAATAGTAGTAGTTCTGTTTTACAGTAGCTCCATCTTGTGGTGAGTTTGTGCAGTAGAACTAGTGGTGGCCTGTTTCAGTACACGCCCACAGATCATTTGTCAGTGTAGAAAACATCATTTGTCCTGTATCCCGTTTTTCAGTCATATGATGAGAGCACATACTGGGCTTTTAGTTTGGATAGAATGTTCCAGAGTAAGGCATTAAACCTCATATCTCGCATCATATCTTGCATTTACTCAATTACAGGTCTTTTTACTGCCATAAAAGCATGCATTCTTTCTGTGATAGGGTTCGCCTTTACACAGATCTAACCTGTAACTTAGTCTGATGTTCTCACCTGCTACACCAGTTTTTGATCTAGGTTATAATGTTGTATCTTCATTAAAATCTTTCCTGGAGTAGTGTTTTGCTTCATTCACACACGTTTAACTCACAAATCTTGAGTATTTAGGCCCATGTTCTTCTCTCAAACTGAAAACGCTCTGTTCCACCTTGTGATGTCATCAAGAGATAATACACGAAGCGCTTCACCATGATTTTAAGCTCCATACACCTTCACTAGAATTATTTGAACAATTTCAGCCCTGGAATTGCCAAACTTTGAAACCACAGCTATTATTTTA